ATAATAATAATGATAATAATAATAATGATGATAATATTCATGATGATGATAAATCATAACAATATTGATTTCTATGCACTTTCTTTATACCCGGGTGGATCCTTGAGACCAGCCTCAAGCAATCGGCCATACACGCAGCCAGCGATTTTCCGTGGTTTGTGTGTGGGGGATCAGACTCTGGGTCATCCCTGCACATACAGTGGTCCTTATGACATAACACCAACCCCACTGGTGATCCTGGATCTGCACACCGGGTCAAGTACATTCCAGATAAATTGGGGGAGAGGGACAGGAGGGACGGGCTTTTTATACTTTTTTCCGTTTTTTGGTAAGTGTTTTACGGCGCTCGCAGCTGCATTAGGTCATATGAGCGAGCGGGACACATTAAACATTTTCAGTTGGTAGGAAACTTTGAATTTTGCCCGATGGCGGCCGAAGCCTACTCTTTTTTATTTTAGACCACAAAAAGATCTTTAGCGGGCGCAACTTGCACACAGGACCTCCGAGTTTTTTCGCCCTTGTCCGAGAAGGCTAAGTGTTGATCTTTCCTACCAGAAGATCAGGGGTGTGGCTGAAAGACAGCAGTAAGGAGCCAAAGAGAAGTATTAGAAAGTTGCAGAAAGAGTCAGGAGCCTCAAGGAGGGGACAAAGAAGTTGAGGGGAGGGGACAGAAAGTGGAGACGAAAGCAGACGGCAGAACATTGCTAGAGAGGAGCAGGGAAGGAGGTGAATGGATACAATTTTAAAGAAGACAATTTTTTCCTTCGTTACCCGGATTAGAACGCGGGATCTTTGAATGAGAGGTGAACACGTTAACCTCTTGGCCACGAGAGCCCCCCTCTAAGCTTTCCAGGGCGTTGAAATACAATCACCGCATCTATACCTCAGAACTACAAAGTAAAGTCCTATCTGACATTTTGGCCGTTTTGAGCCGCTAAGACCATGAAGTCTGAAACCTATCTGTTATATCAAAATCGTAAGATCATTCGGAGTCGTTAGCAAGTTATTTCAAGAATGGCTTTTTTTAAAACGTGGCATATTGTGAAACTCTAAATCTTAAACGTCAGGTTTCTCAAACAAGGTACTGGGCAGATAGAACTGTGTAATTCTGTGGTACCCACATTCTATTTAGGGCGCAGTCAAGGACAGACGGACGGTCTAGACGTCTCCAATAACCAAGGACGCAATCTGCTGTGTGATAGATTATGTGACCTACTTGGGGTTGGAAAGAGCCACAGGGTGGGTTGTTGGTGGGTGCCCTGATGTGAATTGCTCCTTCATTCCTATCAAACATCTACCATTCTTATCTCGCTTTCTTTTTTCTTTTTCTTTTTTGTACAGTACTCTACGCCTCTTATCTTCAGCAATTTTATGACGTAAGTGTGTGGCAAGAGCAGTAAAAAAATCCTGCTAAAACGAAACTGGAAGTGGTGCACCACTGATAGGTCTTTTTTTCTTTTTTTTTCCATTCTTTTTTTTTTCTTTTTTTTTTTCCTCTCATACTACTATCTGTCTTTAGTTTTAGTAAGAGTTTTACGGCACTTGCAACACAATAAGGTCATATAAGTGCCATACTATGATAATTATCTGTCTGTATTACATTTCCCCCGCACTAAATGGCTGCTTTCGTGCCGATGTGCTTCTCTGTACTCAAAGAAGCATGCAAAAACTGGCTGTGATTATAAATTGGTGTGCTTCTCTTTGCTTAAACAATCGAGGCAGTCAAGGAGAGACATCTGGAACAACCTGTGGCGTAATCCCATTCAGAGTGTCAAGCTGACTGGAGACTGTTAGGCACAGGGTACACTGGGTAACGTTTTGGAGATCAGAGATTTTGACATGTGTCCATTTCTATCCGTACATTGTTTCTCTTCTTCTGCAGCTATTAAAGATCTATAATGTCGATGTGGTTCTCTGTACTCAATCGAAACTGTAAAGTATCCTAG